CAAAGGAACAATTGGGTGGCAAAACCAGTAGCACCACACACACACACACACACACACACACACACACACACATACACACACTCACAATGGATGCTTGAAACCATAGACAGCACAGAACCCTATAGATAACTTTGTTTTACCTTCTACATACATAACCTATGATAAAGCTTAATTTCTAAATTAGGTAAAGGGCTGAACTTTAATAAGAAAATAGATCAAGTATTACACTAGACTGTAATTAAGTTGCCAGACTCAGTGCTCTTACACCGGTAAAATCATTAAGTTAAACTTAAGGTTATTTCAACATAAGCATCATGACAGTGCAATGGTCATTATAATAATGGAGATGCTACAAAGTGACTAAAGGGAAGGTGCACACATACCTCCAAGTGCTGGATCATAGCATGTACCACCATGCATGGCTTTGTGGGGTTTTTTTAATATGTGAGGTTTTGATGATCAAATACTTTTTACACATGAAAAGACAGATGATTGCTACATAACTGAAGAATAATATACTCATATATCCCATATATAATATAGAATACCAAATTGACCTCTCCCTTCTCAAATCATTCTCCTTCTTCCCCAGTGTTATTCTCCTCACCCCCATCTCTCTCTACCTAGGTCTCATGTATCCTAGGCTGGCCTCACACTTGCTATGCACCCAAGAATGAACTTAAGTTCATCCTCCTGCCTCTACCTCCTGGGATTCCAGGCATATACCACCATGCCTGCCTCAAAACATTCTCTCTCTCTCTCTCTCTCCCTCTCTCTCTCTCTCTCCCTTTCTCCCTCCTTCCCTCCCTTCCTCTGGTATAGTAAGTGTGGTGCATGCATGCAAGATGCAGGTGTGTGTGCCTGTACCTCATATCTGGACTCCAGAGCAGAAGGTCAGGCATTTTTCTTCTACTGAAATGGAAGCTTGCCATTTTGACTAGGTTGGTTGGCCAGCAAATCCTTGGGATCTACCTGTCTGCCACCAAATGCTGTGGTCACACCTGCCTTTTTACATGGGTCTGTGAATTTGAACTCAGGTCCTGCACTTACAGAGTAGGTGCTCTTGCCCACTAAGCCATCTCCCTAGCCCCATCAAAACACACTTCTTTAAAGCATATGTTTTATATATTTTCCATTAGGTTCATATATTGTATTCAACATGTTATTTCTTAGAAGGGTAATAGTAAACCATACTGCTTGGCCTGAGAATCATTGCATCTTTACCCCATCCTTTTAAATGTGTTGTTACATAGTCAATATACATTTAGTACACTGTCCATGATTCAGACATAAACTTATACTGGTTAGGGTCCATGTTCATGCCCTGCCTTGGGTTGTGTGGTAGCAGAAGCTTTGAGGGCATGCTACAGAACACACGAACTGAGAACTGAGGAAACCCAAAGAGAAATTGGGATAGGAAAGCTCAGGCCTTGGGATGATGTGCAGAGGGAATAGGTGTGGGTAAGGAGACTAGTGTGGGGTACCTCCCACTTGGCAGCCCCTCAGGACCCAGGGTTTGTTTGGGAGCATCCAGGATGCCAGGCATTAAGAAAATACAAATTAACCTGTGTCGCCCTCCCATGCTGGAATCTGGAGGCTGCCAACTTCCTTTCATCATATAGCTGGATTGGGGCTGAGGGGTTGGGGCTACTTTGGATGAGCTGAGGTGAACTATCGTCTTATGAGTTCTTATGTTGCCACGGCTCAGTCACATGCACCAGGTGAAGGTAGAGATCTGAGGGATCTGCTCCAAGTCTCAGGACTAGTGTGTGGCTAGCAGAACCCCAGTGTCCCACCACAGTTTGCCGGGTGATGTTCTCCTCCTGTCTGGTACTAGAGATCCTTCCAGAACTTGCCCTTCCATCCCCAATAGTCACACTGTGGAGTCTGGTGAATCTTCCACTCCAATCTCCACATGAGAGGAACAGAAAGAGCCAGGCAGGGCCTCCCAGTTCAGATTGCTCTGAGTTCTCATCCAGCAATAAAATAGCAGTCTGGCCCTCAATGTCTCTGGGAACCAGCGTTCTTGTTTTGCGCAGGCTCAATGTCTCCAGGGGCCACCCCTTAGCCTGCTTTGTGCATGCTCCTGGGACACCCCACAGCTGGGTGCTTGGGAAGTCACCAACTCATTTCATAACTCACTCACCCTACCTGGTGCTACACCTTGGACACTCACTCATGGATGCCACTTCCACCTGCATTAGTGGGAAGAGGAGTGGGTTTGGGCACCCCAGGACTCTCCCACACCCATCGCCCCTGGAGATCCATGGCTGGAAAAATCAGAATTGGAATCTCAACTCTTGTATGCTTTCCTCCTTCCCACCTAGGAGAACCAGGACGTCCTGGGGGCCCAGGGAAGGACGGAATGAGTGGAGAGAAAGGCGAACCAGGTCAGCAGCGGCTGTGCAGTGACCTGTCCACAGTACCCTAAAGACGGCGGACTGAGGAGCTGACAGCAGCTTTGTTAAGTGCTTCTGAGGGCTGACCTGCCGGGTGCTCCCAGGATGAGCCACCAACAGAGGCAACTCATTCTCCATCTGCAAGAGCCCCAGATGAAAGAGGGATCAATAACCTTCCTGGAAAGGGTCAAATGGGAAACAGTTTCAGCTTAGTGGGCAATGTGATCTGTCTTCCCATGCACCAAAAAGCAGCTTTACATTAGATGCTACACAGATAAGTTTGGCTGTGTTTCAGGAAGTGGTGGTATGAAACTTGACACCTAACTTTACATACATTTCACATAGTTTGAGATAGTTTTGTTTTTCTTCAGTACTGGGGGTTAAACCTAGGATCTCCTTCATGCCAGGCAAATGCTGTACACCAGCCTTCTTTTAAAACTGTTTATTAGCATATATTAATTATGCATAACAATGGGTTTCATTACGATACCGTCATACATCTGAATAATATACTCCAATCATATTCATCCCTGTTACCCTCTGCTGTCCCCCTCCCATTCCCACTGACCTCCTTCCTTTTCCCAACTAGACCCCTCTTCCTCTTTCATGTCTCTTGGTGACCCAATGAGTTTCATGAGGGCTGCTAACAAGCACATAGATAAAGATTTGTTTACAGGAGCTTGGGCACCTTACCAGTGACTACACCACTGAAGAAAATGTCTTTTCCCTATCAACAGTTGATTGTCTATAAATACCCCCCTCCGGGTAGGCATGAGCCCTTCTTCCCTATACAACAGGGTGCTGATGGGCCCAATCTTGTGCAGATCTTGCGTAGGTAATGACAGCTGCTGTGAGTTCAAGAGTGCAGCAGCCATGTCATGCCTGGAAGCCTGTGTTCCATCTCTCTCCTCTTCCCTTCTTCTGGCTCTTACATTCTTTCCACTCCTTCTGTGATGTTCTCTGAGCCCTGAAGGGAGTGATACAGATATCCCATTTCTGGATGAGCATTGGATAGTCACTTGTTCTCAGCACCTTTTTGGTTTGGGCTTTATTTATTTATTTTTTTAACCTTTTGAGATAGTTGAAGCTGGCCTTGAACTTACTCAGTAGATCAGACAAGCTCTGAACTTGTCATTCTCCTGCTTCAGCCTCCGGAGTATTTAGGATGACAGGCCAGTAGCCACCAGACCAAGCTGGGATGTTATTTTTTTTTCCCATTTAAACATATTTGGTTTAGCTTCTGGGCTGTATAAAATCAGGTAAGAGGACAGATTTGGGCAGCAGCCACATGTGCTGACCTCTGACTTAGTGGGTGATCACCAAGGAGGAAGGATCTACCTCACTCAGTGCATATGGCCCTACTGCAGGGAGAAGGTGACACTGGGTTGGGTCCTGGGCTGCAGGTACAGCTCAGTGGCAGATGCTTGCCTAGAATGAATTGGGGCCCCCAAAAGTAGGGAGCAACTGATGGGGAGAGAGGTGACTGTCATATCAAATGTGTGCATCTCACTCTGGGCATTCTAAGGTTTTTTTATGGAATACATAGTCCTGCAAACTAGGTAACATTACCATCTCAACCCTAAAAATGAGGGAACAGACATGACAGAGACTTAGCAGCAGCCTGTAGGGTGTGTTCTTGTGCACCACGGTTGGAGATGGAGTGGTGTTCTGGCATAGAAATACAGACTCTATGCTCATAAATACCACTGCCATTGGGCATGGTACTGCACACCTTTAATCCCGGCACTCAGGAGGCAGGGGCAAGCAGATCTCTTGAGTTCAAAGCCAGCCTGGTCTACATAGCAAGTTCCAGGCCAGCCAGGGATACATGGGGAGACCCTGTCTCAAAAATAAATGCATATATAAACAAATACCACTGTCCTCTAATCCAGGTGGAGGAACTGAAGTGCAGAGTGTTCATGTAGACTGAGGAAAAGTGAGGTGGAAAGGGCTAGAACTGATAATTTACAAGCATGTGTTCCACACTGAAGATTTGATGTTGGGTCTACTCCTTTTGGGGTTCTCACATCCTAGGACTGAGAGTCTGTTACTAAGCAGCCTGGATTGACCTGCTTTTTGTCATCCTTTCCATCTCAGAAGTGTGTTTCTCCCAAGGGTGGCCTTGTTTCTGGGTCAACATGGGACACTTCAGTGGTATAGAGTTGTCATTGCTCATATGAGCCCGGATGCTGACTCAGGAGACAGGAGCCAAAAGTGCTTTTGGAGGCTGGGGATGTTGCTCAGTTGATAAAGTGCTTGCTTAGCATGCATGAAGCCCTGGATTTGATTGCCAGCATTGTGTAAATTCAGAGTGGTGGCTCACAGCTGAAATCTCAGCATTCAGGAAATGGAGGCAGAAGGATGGGAAGTTCAAGGTCATCCAGTCACCCTTGGCTACATATTGCGTTTGAGGCCACCCTGGCCTATATGAGATCCTGTCTCAAATAAAAGTGGTTTTTCTGAGTGTGTGCACCCACATATGGTATGCATTTCCCTACATGCAAATTATGAGTTCATGAAATTTCATAATCTGAGCAGATCCTGAACTCACACACCACTTTGTCCCAATTAAATGCTTAATAATAGAAAAAAAAAACCCAACATTGTTCATGAGGGAATGCTTCATAAACTACCTCTTCATTCTCTTCCTCTATTCAGGAGCAGCCGGAAGAGTTGAAGCAAAAGGCATCAAAGGTGACCCAGGCTCCAGAGGATCCCCAGGGAAACATGGTCCAAAGGGATCCATTGGTCCCCCAGGAGAGCAAGGGTTCCCAGGAGAGACTGGCCCTCAGGGGCAGAAGGGGGATAAAGGTGATGTGGGTCCCACAGGTCCAGAAGGACTAATGGGCAGTGCTGGACCTTTGGGTCCCAAGGGCTTACCTGGCCCAGCAGGCCCCATTGGCAAGCCGGGTCCCAAAGGAGAAGCTGGACCCATGGGCCCCCAGGGCGAGCCAGGAGTCAGAGGAATAAGAGGCTGGAAAGGCGATCGAGGAGAGAAAGGGAAAATTGGCGAGACTCCCATCTTGCCCAAGAGTGCTTTCACTGTGGGGCTCACAGTGCTGAGCAAGTTTCCACCTCCAGATGTACCCATTAAATTTGATAAGATCCTGTACAATGAACTGAACCATTACAACATAGCGACGGGGAAATTCACCTGCCACGTGGCCGGCGTCTACTACTTCACCTACCACATCACTGTTTTCTCCAGAAACGTGCAGCTATCTTTGGTCAAAAATGGAGTAAAAGTCCTGCATACCAAGGATGGTTACATGAGCTCTGAGGACCAGGCCTCTGGTGGCATCGTGCTGGAGCTGAAGCTTGGGGACGAGGTGTGGATGCAGGTGACAGGAGGAGAGAGGTTCAATGGCTTGTTCGCAGATGAGGACGATGACAGCACGTTCACAGGCTTTCTTCTGTTCAGCAGTTCATGAGGCAGAGGACTCTGAATGTGGGCCTTGTAGGCACAGCGGAAAATCCACTCCTGAAATTTGTTTCATGTGACTTAGAATCTTTTAAAGAATAAAATTATAAACAGTTGTCTGCTATAATCATTCTCCAGTGCTGGAGAAGGAATCCAGGGTTATGTGAATTCCAGGCAAGTGCTGTGCCACAGTGCTATACCATCAAGCTGCTATACCATCAAGCTGCTATACCATCAAGCTGCTATGCCATCAAGCTGCTATACCATCAAGCTGCTATACCATCAAGCTGCTATACCATCAAGCTGCTCGTGACAATGCATCTAACCCTATCATCCCACTACCCAGGAAGTCCTTTGCATGTGTGTTTGTGGTGGGAAGAGAGTTCTGCTGTCACATTACTGCTCTAAGGGCCATATTATGATTTGTTATTTGTCTGTTTCTGATCACATTAGGGAGAAAGTCAGTGACCCTAGGTTGTGGCTGAGTGGGTGCAGCACTCTCGTGACATGCATGAGGTCTGGGTTCCATACTCAGCACTGTAAAAAGAAAGAAAACATTAATTCCATTTAGTGACTAATGGCTTTAAGCAGCTATCAGTGAGGTACTCTTTTTTTTTTAAATATTTATTATTATTTTTTATGTGTATGTGTGTATTGCCTGCATGTAGGTAAATGCTCCCATGCTGTGCAATGCCCGTGGAGGTCAGAAGAGGCTGTCGGATCCCCTGGGACTGGAGTCACAGACAGTTGTTAGCTCCCATGTGGGTGCTAGATCCAAACCCAGATCTTTCTGCAAGAACAGTGTTCTTAACTGCTTAGCCATCTCTCCAACTCCTCAGTGTGGTACTCTTGATGAAGATACTTTATTTTCTGACTTAGGCGTCCATTGTTACTCTATCCAACAAACAGTTGGAATGAATCTATTCATTTTCTAGGACTGCCATAAACAAACTTGGTGACTTAAAACAACAGAATGAAGGGGCCGGAGAGATGGCTCTGTGGTTGAGAGCACTGACTGAGGACCTGGGTTCAGTTCCCAGCACCCACATGGCAATTAACAACCATCCATAACTCCAGTTCCAAGGGATCCAACACCCTCTTCTGGCTCTACCAGCATTGAACACATGTGGTGCACTTACAGACCTGCAGGCAAAACACTCATACACATAAATTAAAAATAAATAAATAAATACAAATTAAAAACAGAATGTACTGTGTCACAGTTCTAGAAGAAGAAGTTCAAGGTCCATGTGTCAGCAAGGCTATGATGGCTCCTAAGTCTCTGAAGGAATATCCTTCCCTGCCACTTGCGGCTTCTAGCAGCCCTTGGTATCCCCTGGCTTGAGGCAGCATCAGTTTGGTCTGTCTTCAGCTCCTCATAGCTGGTTTCTTTCTGTAACTGCCCCCACCCAAGATTCCGTTTTCTTATAAGGATAGAAGTCATATTGCATTAAGGCCTATCTCAATCTGATGGCATCTGTAAGGACCCTATTTCCAAATAAGGTCATATTTGTAGTTATCAAGGACTGGGTCTTTAAGATATCTTTTTGGAGACAAAAGTCTACTCATAACAGTCTGCCTTCTAGACCTGTCCCAAAGTTGGTATCTTTCCCATGTGCAAAATATATTGAGCCATCCTAACATCCCCAACAGTCAACTCCCCAATTTCTGCATCATCTCTTATGTCCAAAATGTGACCATCTAAGGCATTTAAATCAGCAACAGGAGAGACATACTATGTGATTTATGCTGGAGCAGAATCTCTCCACCTGGAAACCATAAGTCAGACAAGCTATTGACTTCCAAAAATACAGTGGCAGGATAGGCATAAGATCAACTTTCCCATCCAGAGGGGAGAAACAGAAAGGAAAAAAGGCCTCACAATTTTCAAGCCAGTCTGAAAGCCACCAGGCAAAAAAACTATTGAATTGAACCTGAGGCCTCACATGTGCTAGGCAAGCATTCTGCCACTGAGCTATTTTCCCAACCTCTAGTATTTTTAATTGAGCTACAAAAAGAAAGAGAGGAAAAAATCCTCCAAACCCAACAACAAGAAGAAAATAAAAAATGGGTCGAGAACACCAAACAAGTATGGGTGGGGGAGCCATCTGGGGATGAGTTTACTGAGAGTGAAAGGCAAACTTCTCCCTTAGGCCTACCATGGACAATTTTGTTTCCATAGATCTCATCACTTCCCCAAAAGCATCCTCCTGCATATCTGTCTATTCTCTGTCTACTCTTTGGTCAAGTTCTTCTGGTGGTGTAGACCATGCCTACACTCTGAGGTGCATGTGGGACTCAGGCTTAGACAATCAGAGTAGCACCTTTGGCCATGGTGACATTTGTAAGCTGACACTGATCCCATCAGAACCTGTGATGTGCTCTGGTGGGCCTGTTGACCAGAAGGCCTGCTCTTTATCAGTTCAAGTTAGAACTAAGAGGACTAAGTCTTGAAGAGTCTGGTATTCACCTTGCTAATCTATCAAGCCCAAGAATGAAGCCAGACAGAGCTGGAGATAGAGATCCCAGCTGCTGTGCTTGATATGGGTCTCCCAAGTTTCCTGTGTGGAAACTTAATGCCCAGATTTATAAGTTATTGGCATTTGAAGGTATGGTCTTGTGAGGTTACTGGATTAGATGAGGCCACAAAGGTGGGGCACATATGATGGCATTAGTGGCCTTATAAGAAAAAGGAAGAGGATGGTTGGGGAGATGACTCAGCTGTTAAGAACATTTGCTGTTCTTCCAGAGGACCTGGGTTTAATTCCCAGCACCCACATGGTGGCTAACAACCACTGTAACTCAAGTTTCAGGGGATCCAACACTCTCTTCTGGTCTCCACAGGCATTGCACACATGTGGTGCACTTACATACATGCAAGAAAAACACTCATACACATAAAATAAAGATAATAAAAATATTTTAAACAAAAAAGAAAAGGAAGAGAGACCTTGCTGTGTGATGTCTCTACCATGTTGTCATGCAGCTCGGAGCCCTTACAGGTTCCGGTTCTGTGTTCTTGGGCTTCCCTACCTTTAGAGTTGGTGGAAATAAATTTCTTTCTTTCATAAATTACTAATCTGAGGTGGTCATAGTCTGAAACCGTATTAAAGCATCTGTTCTGATGATATTGATTAGGCTTTTAAATCCAACTGGACTTAAGGGCAGAGGTACTATTCTGTTGTGTGAGCTAACACATCTTTGTTTGTGTATACCTGTCTGACGGTGTTGCTGTCATTGTTACCACCTCTTCCATTTAAAATAATCTTAAATGACTCAGGATCAAGAATAGGAGAAACAGTGGGAAAAGTCCAAGACTAAGAGCTGGGGTACATCAGATATGATTCAGTTATGACAGAGGAATTTGAATTGGGCCAGTAATGTAGCTTTTTTGTGGTGCTCCAGGTCCTTACTGTGTAAGAAAGCCTGAACTGAATAATTTCATAGGATCCTAATCTTTTTCTAAACTTATGAAAAGTATCACCTATGGTTAAGTTAGCTTGATACATTTTCTTATGCTGGGAATCTAAACTGTACATATTCATTAAATTTGCTAAAGTTTCATATTCATCTTTTCAGTTTGAAATAACCATTCTCACCATAATGTTTTAGTTCCTTATGTGATCTTACTGTAGGTGCTGTTTGGGTGATGTTTCCTGTGGATTCTTTACCTGATCCACCCAGATACCTGGTGGTGATAGTGAATTGTCCATATGTATTCACAACTTATGTGCTCATTGGAACATGTGTGCCTTTAGTGTTGATTTCTAATCCTGGTGGTGGTTAACCATCATTGCCAGCTTGACTGGACTTAGAATCACTTGGGAGACACACGTCCTAATCTGTCTGTGAGTGATTTTCTAGAAAGGTTTAATTGAGAAGGGAGGACACCCTGAATGATGGTGGTGCCATTCCATGGGCTAGGATCACAGATGCATAATAAGGAAAATGGGAGGTGGTGAGCCAAGCACCAGCATTCATCTCTCTTTGCTTCCTAATCTGCCCAGTTGTGGGAAAGATGCTGCCACACAGCTGTGGGCACTCTTGGTAGCATGCCTCCCTGCCATGATGGATCCTAGCCCCTGAACCCTGAGCCAAAATAAACTTTTTCTCCATTAAGTTGAATTTGGTGAGAACTTTGGTGACAGCAACGAGTTACTGATACAGCTGGTCACACTTGAGAACAAGTAATAGAAAAGAAAATTACTCAAACTCTCTCTTTTGTTGCCTGGCAACAGTGTTAGTGGTTTTGCTCTGCCAGGAAACTCCCACCACCAAGCACTACCTCACCACAGGCTGAAAGCTTTGGGTCTGTCAATCATAGATGGGTCTCTACGAGCCAACACAGATTTATTGCTTGCTTGTTTGTTTTGAGACAGGGTCTCACTGTAGCCCCAGCTAGCCTGGAACTCACTCTGTATACCAGGCTAGCCTCTATCTCATAGAGATCCACCTGTTTCTGTCTCCTGAATGCCAAGATTAAAGGCCCGCATCACCACACCTGGCTTTGCTCAGATTAAAAAAACAAACAAACAAACAAAAAAACCAAAAACCAAGCATGGTGGCTCACACCTATAATCCCAGCCCTTGAGATATTGAAGCAGGAGAATTGTTATGAGCTAAAGGCTAACCTGGGCTACATGTGAGTTTCAGACTGGCATGGGGTAAAATGACTCAAGCTGAGTGAATGTTTAAGGCATGGCATTTCTCCTACACGACAATCTGGAAGGCGTCATCAGACAGAATGTACCTGACCCATTTTCATTTCTGTTGTGAGAGAATACCAATTCAAAGGAGAAAGGGCTTATTTTGGCTTACAGTTCCAGAGAGATGGAATCCATCATGGCGGGAAGACCTCGCAGTAGGAGCAGAAAACTGACTGATCACATGACATAAGCACTCAGAAAAAAAGAGAAAGAGCAGCAAGTGGGTCCACCCTATAAACCTCAGAGCCTGGCTGAGGCAATGTACTTCTTCCAGAAAGGCTCCATTTCCTAAACGTTCCATAATTTTCTCAAATAGTGCTACTAGCCTGGAGACCAAGTGTTCAAATTCATAAGCCTACGGGGCTCATGTTCAAACAACAGCAGTGTGCCTTGAGACTGGGATTTGAAGCCACAAGAATTGCAATTTCCCTATCCACACTCCATCTAAACCATCAGGATTAAGGAGGTGCGCTTGATCAGGAAAGAGGGAGTTTTCTGAATTATCACGCACTGTCACTGGGTTTCTTCTGAGACGCCATCAAGAACTCACAGGGCTGCGTCCTCACATTCATGTCCCGCACTGGTAAGACTGTCAAAGTGTGAAAGACTTCTTTCCACATCCCTGTCTCATGGGCGCTGAAGGCAAACCCGAGACGTTTTTCCTCCAGACACACGAGGGCGCTACAAAACGGCGGCTGCTCAGAAGGCGGCGGGGTGACGCTCTTGCTCAGGAGAGGAGACGTACGCGTGTGGAGCAGACCCGGAAGCGCGGGCATTAGGTGCCGCGGCGTGGGCCGCTGCCTTGGAAACTGGGGCGGGCGCTCCCTTTTGGAGCCTGGTGGATCTGGGAAAGATGCTGCAGGAGGTCGGCAGAATGCTGTTCGCCCGAAAGCTGGGCGGCCTCGGAGCGGGAGCGGCTCGGCGACCTGGGCGTGCAGGCCGGGGTGGCCTGGCAGCAGGGGGCCGGGCCCGGGGTGTCAGCACCAGCTGGTCCCCGGTGGGCGCCGCCTTCAATGTCAAGCCCCAGGGCCGTCTCCTGGACCTGTTTGGAGAGCGTCAGGTGAGCGCGCGGGACGGGTTCCGTGTCCCAGCGGCTAGCCGAGGTCCGGCCAAGATCGTTGAGTGCCGGGAACAGGGCATGCACTTGGAGATGGTGCCCGGCTCTCCGTCCTTGGGGGCAGAGTGGTTCCCAGGAGCTGCATCCTCGTGGGCAGCTTGCTCCACGTGGGCTTGAAGTTGGTCTGGGGCCCACCCACTTCCCACTTAGCCGGTCTCCTGCCAAGTTTGCCTTTTCCCTTCCACCCTACTCTGTGCCATCATTAGAGACACATTTGGCTTAAGAATTAATATTTGGCATAAAATTGTATTTGCAGGGACACTCTTATCTTTGGTCATGTAAGTAACCATTCCACTGAAAATTCTGTCACACCTTAATAAATCATTTCAAAGCTTTAGGTTTGCTGTTTTAAAACAGAGCCCTGTTAAACCAGGCGTGGTGGGACCTGCTTGTAGTCCCGACACTTGAGAGGAAGGAGGCTCACTTGTTGAAGGGCGGTCTCTCTTAGCGAGTTTGAGGCCAGTCTGGGCTACTTAAGACGCTGTCTCGGAAAACAACACAACAGACAAAACCCTAGAGAGAGTCCTCAGATTCCCCGTAGTGCCTTGGGGTTAATTTCTTGGCCTAGGACATCACTAGACCGAATTATTTGGGCCTTATTTCCAGGTGGTGTTAGGTGCTTGATAGTGAATGGAAAGCCTGGCAAGCTTGAGGAGGATTTGCAAATGTGTGTGTACTTTGCATTTGTAGATTTTGTCTATTTTAGGGCTACATTTTCTTCATTATACATCGCTTTTTGTGCTTTATAAAGACAAATCTGGGATATGGTTGCAGCCAGCTTCATGTGTGTTTATCTGTCACTAACTTTGTCTATTTGAAAATTCTTTCTGCATAAACGTTCCTCCAAATCTCATAAGGGTATATGATGTTGGGATTAATGGTGTTAGAACTACCTGTTAGTACTGAGCAGAAAGATGTAAGAGGTATGCATGGTTTTGAGTAGATGGAATAGAACTAATTTCAGCCTTTAAAAAGTCACTTTGTGTGTGTCTGTATGTATGTGAGTGCAGCCGTGTGTGGGCCACAGCATACATGTGGGGATCAGAGGACAACTTTTGGGAGTCTTGTTCTTGCCTTCCGCCTTGTTGAGGTAGGACCCCTGTTTTTGCTGCTGGGCTGTATACTCCAGGCTGCCTGACTCTGAGCCTCTATCTTTCTGGGCCGTTTTCTTGTGTCCACCTCCCACCCTGCAATAGGAATGCTGGGATTACAGATGCATGCCACTGAATTTGGCTTTATAAAACATTTTCAAAATTACATTTTGTTTCTTTTGTTTGTTTGTGTGTGTATGTATGTATGTATGTATGTGTGTTTGTATGTATGTATATGTGTATGTGTGTACAGAGGTCAGAGTCAGGTCTCTTCTTCCATCATGTAGGTCTGGTCTTAGGATTAAGCCCAGGTGGTCAGGTTTGGAAGCAAATATGTATATATGTATATATGTATATGGGCGTGAGTATGTCACAGGGCACATGTGGAGTCAGAGATCTGGTTCTTTCTTTCTACTATGTGTGTCCTGGGGACTGAATTTAGGTCATCAGCCTTGGCAGCAAGCATCTTACCAGTGATCCATCTTGCCAACCCTGTTTTTTTTTTTTTTTTTTTTTTTTTTTTTTTTTTTTAGACAAAGCCTGGCTAGCCTGGAACTCACTACTTAGCCCAGGCTGGTCTTGAATTTGAGACCCTTCTGTCTCACCCTCCTTTGTGCTGGGGAATATAAGCATGAATCACCATGCCTTGCTTGGAAATTGATTTTAGCCTTGAAAAATAAAAGAGTTATATAGCTTTTTAGCATTATTTTGATGGGCAGTTTGAGATTTGTGATTCTCAAGAGCAAATTGAGAGCGGTACTGGGAAGTGGAAGAATTCTGTTCTTCATTGAATTAAATTGGTTTAGAGAATTAATCCTGTTTGGTCCTGTCTACTCTGTGCCCAAAGGCTTCATTCATTTTCTTTAGTTCTTAATGTATTTTTTAAAGTGCTTAGTAGTTAAGCATCTAGTTAACCTACAGTTGAGTATCTGTTATATCCCTTGATGTCCTTCATTGAGTTCCACCATGCCTTAGACTTTACATTGGGTAGCTTGCTTTAGAAAAAAAGAAAAAAAAGGTATCCACTTCGCACCTCAACTTCTCAGACTTCTAGAGAGACAAGCTGCAATGGGAAAGTGTGGGCTTCAGAGGATACGGAGCGGGGCATGTTGGGTTCTTCCCACTGCCCCCAGTGACCTCAGCAGAGTTTGCTAACCTCTTTTTGGCCTCAAACTCAATATGTATCTGAGATTGGCCTTGATCTTTCTGTCTCCTCCACCTCCTTAGTGCTAGAATTCAGATGTATACCATCATGCCCCACATGTTTTTGCTAGTCTTTTAAACACCTGTTTCTTTCTGGGCATTGGTGGCACCCATATATAATCTCAGCACTTGAGGGGCTTAATCAGGAAGATGTCAAGTTCTAGGCCTCTCTCTCTCTCTCTTTCTCACAACCCCCAATTTTTTAAAAAAGCATATTTCTATGTCTGTGAAAGGAGTGTGGTCTTGTAATTCAGATGGGAGAACCTGTGTAAAGTACCTAGCACACATCAGCATGCATAATATTAAATGCTTGCCTTTTCCTGCCTTCCTGAGCGTTCCAGCAGCTGTGACTGAACTGCTACATAATGAGGGTTGTTCTTATGAGATTAGTGATTTGTTTTTTCTTTATCAAAATATTGAACTGCCTTTGGAAAGTATCAAAATTGCTGTCAGTTTCAGTCCATGACTGCATTTGATATTGTTTGCAGTGTCTCTACTTGATAGCCAGCTGATGATCTCCAGTTTATAGTAGTGGAGGATGGATTGGTGTTACCTGTGGAGACCTTGCTCTGTGAGGAGCATGGTCCTAGGCCTTTTACACACAGTTCCTGATTTAGCGTCTATTTCCAAGCTGTTAAACTTGTACCTCATTGTATGAGTGAAAAACCTGAAACCTAGGAGGAGAGATCATGTGACCAAGACTATAGGCTAATTATCACCACTAGTGTCTGTTAAGAGCTGTCTGTGTGTCAGGCACTGTTACGGTTTGTTTTAAACCTGTGGAACATCATTAAGTCCTTGCACCATTTTCCCCTAGAGCTTTACTGATGGAGCTGAACTTACACCATTTTAGTTCTAGTTTTTGAAAAATAAGTAAAACTTGATGAAAACTTAGCATTTCCAAAGACTATTTCAATGTAGTTGGTGCAGCATTGGAGAGGGAGAGGATTCCCTCAAACTCAGGTGTGAACTGTCTTGAAACACCAACAAAAATCAAAACATTATGAGAAAGTATTTCTACTGAATACCAAAAAACCATATATAACTTGGTATAACTTATATAACTTGATATAACTTGTGCATATTCTTTGGCTCTTAGGGCCTTTTTGGGGTTCCTGAGCTCAGCACCCCTGAAGGATTCCAAGTTGCACAGGAAGCAGCCTTAAGGAAGTCTGAGTGGCTTGTGGAGCGTGCCTGTGCTACATCCCCAGGGCTGCAGACCGTGCTCATCTTCGACGAGCTCTCTGATGCCCTCTGTAGAGTGGCTGACTTGGTAAGACTTGAAACCACCTGTTCAGGCTGTTGCCATTGAAGTTCCTCCCTGGTTTAAGATTACTAGTGAACTATGTGGTGAGAAGTGTCTCAACTTAGAGACCATGGCATATGTTGTCATTTGAAGTATGTAGGGAAGGTGCTGCTGACAACGAGCACTTTCTACAAAGTAAGAAATATATGTACATATATAGTAAGAGAACCTTGAACACTCAGCAGAGCGTTTGGTTCACAAAGGGTCATTCATGAAAGCTTTGACCACAACTCTACAAGAATATTTTATGTATATTTACGTAAAAATTCATCTTTTTCAAAAGCAGAATGAAAACCAGTTTTTAATTTTTTTTTTTTAGACAGAGTCTGTAGTCCAGGCCATCTTTGAACTCTGTATGTAGCCAAGCCTCTGTCTCCCAAGTGCTTGAGATTACCTGATTGCCCCATCATACCCAGTTTATGCTGGGGATTAAACCCAGGACCTGTATGTGCTAGGCAAACATTCTACCAACTGAGCTATATCCCTATCCTGAACTAGTTTTATAAGTCTTTTTTTAAAAAAATATTTTATTTATTATTTTACGTATATGAGTGTATTGCCTGCATGTATGTAAGTGCACCCGTGCCATGCAGTGCCTGTGGAGGTCAGAAGAAAGTGTTGGGTCCCCTCGGGAATTGGAGTTACAGACTGTTGTTAGCCACCGTGTGGGTGCTGGGAACCAAACCTGGGTCCTCTCCAAGAGCAACCACTGCTCTTAAGTGCTGAGCCATCTCAGCCCCTTATAAATCTTTTTAGGAATGCCTTTTTATTGAACTATCAAAGACTTTACAATTGCATTTTAAAGGTGAAAAGGAAGTACAGCTAGGTTTCTTTATCAGCTAAGAAACCATTACTGAAGGCATGATTTTCTTTTTTTTAAAGTTTTTAAAATGACAAAGTTATTTATTGTGTGTGTTTGTGTGCGCGCACATGCACGAGCATGCACACATACCATGGCATGTGTCTGGAGGTCAGAGAACAGCTTTCAAGAACTGGTTCTTTCCACTGTGTGGGTCCTGGGATCAAGCTCAGGCTGTCAGGCTCAGTGGCAAACACCTTTACCCACTGAGCCATCTTGCTGGCCTTGAAAGCATGATTTTCTGTCAGCCCCAAATAGACAAATTGTCTATTTTTAGTTAAAAAAAATTATGTATATGAATGTTTTACCTACATATATGAAAGTGTACCACATGCCCAAAGAGACCAGAAGGGAACACTGGATCCCCTGGAACTGGAGTTAAGGGCTATTGTCAGCAGCCATGTGGGTACCGGGAACCAAACCCTAGCCCTCTACAAGAGCAGCCAGTCCTTTTAACTACTGAGTCACCTAGCCCCCTATTTTATTTTATCGCACCCCCCCGTATGTGTGTGTGTGTATGTACATGCACCTACATGCAGCTATGTGTCTCAGTGCATGTATGGAGGTCAGAGGAGTGTCTGATCAGTCATCTTGCTGGAAAAGGGTCAGATCTTGATTACTTGTATCAGTTAATCAGTGAAGGTGATTAGTGAAACATAGAATCTAAAATAGTGATTGTTCATCTTGTCTATGTGGTACTGACTTATGTAGGATATTCCTCACATTAATTCAGTGTTGAGCTCTCTGCATACCAAACACTGTCCTAAGCACCAGGATTAGTTAAAAAATAAGCAGATGAGTTAGATGAGTTAGGCAGTGACCCTGATGGCAGCTTTATCTAGATGATCTGCAACTCACCATGACGTCCAAGCAGGCCTTATTTCATAGCAGCCCTTGTGCCTCGGCCTCCCTTATGCTAGGAGGATTGTAGGTGGGAGCCACCACTCCTGGCTCTCAGTAGTTCTGTCTCTTCTGGAATGTCATAGAAATGGAATCAGATATGCTTCAAGACCAATTTCTTTTATTCGGCCTACTACCTCCCCATTTTTGTGCTTTTCTCTTTCCAGAGCATTTTGTTCCTCTTCCACCCTCCAGCTGAACAATAACACATTTCGTACGATAATACATTCCCTGCAGTAAGTAGTCCCAGCTTTTAAAGGGACTACTGTTGGGTACACACATATACATGTAGGCATAAACCATTAGAATATCTTCCTGTAAAGGGTTTCCCTGGGAGTAGTTTTGGTGTGCACAGACAAGCTTGCTCCATGATGGAGAAATCATGGAGATGCCCTGCCCAAGTCCTGTATTTAGCCATCTTCTTGTGTCATTTACATCTGAAAAGGAAATTGTTAGTGAACATCTCTTAGCATTATATTAGCAAGATCTGTCTGATAGTCACTCATAGGCCTGGAAGCCAGCTGGCTTGTTGTCTTAGTCTGTCTTCATTAATCAAGAATCTAGAAATGTCCCCTACATTTTTTCCTTTACTCTTCATGTCATATCTTTGAGCTTTAAAAAATGTTTATGGATGTCAATAGTGTCTCATTTTGAAAACTGTTTTATAGTTAGATGCCCAAATCCCAGGACTTGGGAAGCCAAGACCAGAGGATCTTGAGTTTGAGGTCAGCCTGAGTTATATAATACAAAGCCAGCCTGAGCTAAATAGTGAGATACTGTTTCAAAACAACAGCTACAACAGCAAAAAACTGCTAAACTGCTGGGTGTGGTGGCGCACGCCTGTAGTCCCAGTACTTGGGAGGCAGAGGTAGGCGGATCTCTGTGAGTTCAAGGCCAGCCTGGTCTACATAGTGAGTTCCAGGACAGCTGGGGCTACAGGGAGACCCTGTCTCAAAAAGACAAAAACAAAACAAAACAAAAAAACCTGTTAAAGAAAGCAAACTATAATGTGATTCATATGTAAAATTATGTAGGTAAATAATTCAAAGAATATTTTTTCCTTTTGGAATTTTTAAGCTATCCTGCCTGTATGATTAATACTATTGTAAAACAAGGGTTTTATTATCTGTCAGCAAATGGACCTTTTAATTAATTAATTAATTAATTTTTAGACAGTTAGCCTGGATCTCACTACATAGACCAGATGGTCTTGCTCTCCCAAGTTCTGGGATTAAAGGTGTGCACCACTGTGCCCCATATATTTGGTCTTTTGAGCCCAGGGTGGTCTGTAACTCTTGATCCTTCTGTCTTAGCCTCCTGAGTGCCAGGACTACAGGCATGTGCCACCACACCTGACTCCCTTGTGATGATTGTATTTCATGTTGTAGTCATACAGATCTTAGAGAATAAAGAAGATATGCAATATTTTGTAGTTTCCTTGCATTTTCTTGTTTTTACTTATAGTTTTTTTTGAAATATTTTATTTTATGTGTATGCGTGTATTGCCTGCATGTAGGTAAGTGCACCCATGTCATGCAATGCCCATGGAAGACAGAAGAGGCTGTTGGATCCCCTGGAACTAGAGTTATGGACAGTTGTTAGCTGCCATGTGGGTGCTGGGAATTGAACCTGGGTCCTCAGCAAGAACAGTCAGTGTTCTTAACCACTGAGCCATCTCTCCAGCCCCTATAGCTGTTTTTTGTATGTACTCAAATGAACTTGAGCACTAATTTCATATGATTTTATTTATTGAAAAAGAATTTTTGCTTAAATTCTACCAGTTGTTGTAGCAGACACAGTATGGTCAGATACCATTCTAGATGGGAATAAGGAATTCATTTTTCTTCTTATAAAAGCTTAGAAAATGTTGTTAAATTGGTTTTGAAACTATATTATGTGCCATTTTTAAAGAGCACCTCTGAATTATTCTTTGGGGCCAGGATAGCTGGGAGAACCAAGCTACAGTTTGAGTTCCAAAGTTTTAGAATATTTGAAACCCAAATCTGCTTTTTGGAATTACGAGATAGGGAGAGTTTGCTGGCTATCCATTTGAAGGTGAGAAGCTTCTAAAATGAAATTTATGAAAATATTTTCTTTGGAATGAAACAGATATGGCTCCAAGGAATAACAGAATTAATAAACATCTAGAAGGAAGCTGCTCTGCCTTACTGGTTGAATCAGGATTCATTCGTGAAAATGCATGGGTCAGGTCAAGGGGTCTTCAGCAGGATCTTGGAAGCCAGAGATCTATCAAATTCCCTTTTGGTTTTGTCTTTCCTCTTTGTTAGGCTGATTTTGTGAAAATCGCACATCCTGAGCCTGCGTTCAGAGAGGCCGCCGAAGAGGCCTGTCGAAGTGTCGGCACCATGGTAGAAAAGTAGGTGCTGCCACCTCCACTGGGCTATACGTGGTGTCGTACACAGTGCCTGTCCCTGGGCAGGGTGGGAGAAGGTGCGGGTGTGACTCATGTGGAGGGTGGGAGGTGGGTGGGAAGACTGTAGGGCAGAGGCTCCCCTCTCAGCATTGTGCTTGGGTTATTCACCTGTCCCCTCTTCTCTATTCCTTTGTAGATGGGGTAATTAAGATGACTTTTAGGGTTGCTGTGAGAATGAAATGAAATAAATATGAGATGCATATAATTGAGTGATTTCTTTTTCACCATTATTACTGATGGTAGGTAGGGCTTCTGAGTATTTTCAGGGTCAATTAGAGTTCCTAGAGTCTCACGAGTCAGTCGTTGTATACATGGCTATGGGCCACAGGCTGAGAAGCCAAAATGTGTATATATATATACACGCGCAATCCCCCTACAGGCCCTTTTAAGTTGGGGTTAGGAATGTCTTAGGAACTGTAAAACTCTTTGGGAGAGCCAAGTCAGGCTGTAGGTAGAGGTTATGGGGAAATAAATTACTCTGAAGCACTTTGGGGGTAATATGAAATGTTTTCAAGCTATTTTTGAGCACTCCACAAAGTGCTTGTTGAAAATCACATGGATGGTGCTCTGTTCTAAAGCACTTAGGTACATAACACCCTGCCAGATCATGTCTGAGGCTGCAGAGAGCCCCCAGGGCTTGCCTTGCATAGGTCTGTGATGGGGAAATAGGGGCCAGGCAATGCCATGAACCTATTTCAGAGACCAGAAGTTGGAGGAATGGGCAGCTTGGGTAGTTGGACAGGCTTTCTGGAAGACCTGATGTCCTAGGGGAGATATGGGTGCTGCCCCTTTTCCACTGAGCAACATTGGCCCACCATAGGCACAGTAAATGTGACTTTTTTTTTTTTTTTTTTTTTTTTTTTTTAACAACCATTGACTTGCTAAAGGGAAAAAGTTGTCCTTGTCACACCTAGATACTGGGCACCCTGAAGGAACTGTAGCAAGGGACCCCTTGGGAGAACAACCACTGCCTTTTGGGGAGTAGCCCAGGAAAGGGTGTCATGGCCAGGTCACCTCTCTGGGGTACCATGAAGGCTGTGTCCCACTGGGTGTATGTACAGCCTGCTCCAAGCACTCTTAAGTTTGTGAGAGGCTAAAGAGAAGCAGGATTGGTAGTGAAGTGGTGGTATTTGTAATCTTCATCTCTTCATGGGGAGTGGTTCAGTCTATTGACGCAAAGCCCTAAAATAGGTTTATGGCCTTGCCTAGAGCTCTGCTTCCTGCTTTCTTCGAGAACCTTGACTCTTTCTCCCTATAGTCTACCTGTGACATTGTTACTAAATTCTTCAGTTGACCAGGCTGATTTCAGATACGTAAGGGAACTGGCTTGTTTTTTGGCAGTGGAGAAAGAGCCTATAATTCGGTGATGTAACATATGCTTCCATAGGACCCAAAACTGCAGTCCTCTACACAGTAAGAGCCCTGGGGGCCAGCAGCAAGTAGGCTCCAGCTTTCCCCTGACTCCTGGGAGCTCTGCCAGGGATTGGGTGATGAAGGCATGCTGAGCATCTTTTGACTGACAGTGACTGCTTTGGACTGTCTGGTATTTGGGAGGATCCATGAAAGTGGTGGCAAAAGAAATCCTTCAGTCCATTAAACACTTCTTTAGTTGTGAACGGCCTGGGGAACTAGCTCATCCTTGAGTAAGGACTGTGCATGATGGATGGTGTTATGGACACTGTTCCTCCCTCAGGATCCACTGGGCAGGAGTAAATTTTAATATAGGCCCAGTTTCCTTGTTGGCCTTGAGGATGCCAGAGCCTTCAGCACCCAGGGAGTGAGGACAGTGGTGCTACAGATTGGGCCAAAGCTGATGCTTGGATCATGGCTCTTTGCTCCAAATTTGGGCCCAGAGTGGGCGGCTGCATAGGTCTGTGAGGGTGAGGATTGTACATGTGGTCTCAGTCAGTCTTCATGGCAGCCTTAAGTTCATAGTGCCACAGTCAGCCAGCCTTGCATGTGGCTATGGCTGCATACCATGTCCTGAGCCATCTCATCCAGGGTGGGCCTGCCACACACTGAGCACAACTGTTTCAGGGTGCTGAACTCAGGACTTTAGGAAAGCTTTGTGTTAATTCAGCTTCTCTTGCCCCCTTCGTTCTTTGAGGTTATTAAAAACCAGACACACGGGAGCTGGAGAGATGGCTCAGTGGTTAAGAGCACTGACTGCTCTTGCAGAGGACCTGGGTTCGATTCCTAGTACCCACACAACGGGTACGAACTGTCCTTAACTCCAGGTCCCAGGGAATCCGAAGCTCTCTTCTGACCTCCACAGCATTGCACAACACAGCATTGCACAACATGTGAGTGCACTCACATACATGCAGGCAATACACTAATGCACATAAAATAAAAATAAGAAAAATAAAATATTAAAAAAAAACCAAAACAACCCCACAGAGTCACTCTCTGCATATTGCTAGTGGAAAGTGGTTCTCCATCACCAAACTGTCCCTTCCCCTCCCCTCTTTCCTGTCTTTCTGCTGCAGCTGCCTACTCAATTTGAGCTTCCCTTTATCGTCTAGGATAGCTAGGGCCATTGACATTTTGCTTAATGGATTGCCTGTCCTTATACTGAACAGTTTCTAAATATGGCTATTATTATTCCTGGCCCAACAAAGACACAGAAAACTACTCCCAAATTTTGGTGTCTGGGCATGGGTATCTTACCGTCTAAGAAAAAAGGGATTAGAAAATCATGTGTTTTCATTTTTCTAGGTTGAACACAAATGTGGAATTGTATCAAAGTCTGAAGAAATTACTAGATGATAAAAAGCTTATGGATTCCCTTGATGCAGAAACCAGGTACTCATCCATTCCTTTGTGTTGCTTATGATTGGCTCTGGAGGCCAGGCTGAGAATGTGATCCTTCTGGGCACTGTGGACCTGGAATGTTCCTCTCCAGGTATCCCTGCGACTCCTGCACTTTGTCTGAGACTCAGCCACACTCTCTTCTCTTCAAACCGTGCCTGTCTGACTCCATCTTCTTTCCTGTATTACTTTCTTCTTAGCCATAATCACTACCAACATCTTATCTGCCAGCTTTGTTTTCATCCCTCTGCCCCACTGGCTGAACTCAGTGAGGGTGCTGCTCAGTCTGTTTTGCTCATTGCTGCATGATGAACAACCAGTGACTACCTTGTTTAGTTGAATAGTTGAGAATTATACCATCTTTATGCCTACATTTCCATAATTGACACCATGGAAAGATATTAACAAATTTGTTTGTTTGGTGGATATCAAGATCCTTGAAATGAATAACTTTGGATTATTAGTAATTTAGATTACAATAACTCAACGTGATGAGAGTCTTAATGCTAAGCCAGTACACAGGAGTATTTGATGTATGATCTCAGGTACCTTATTTCTGTGCTTAAATTTATTTATAAGAGAAGTGTAGAACTGGGAGATGGCTCAGTGGGTAAAGGTGCCTGCCACCAAGCCTCATGACCTGAGTTCAGTCCCTGCAACCCACATGGTGGAGGGAGAGAATCAACTCCTGGAGTTGTCCTCTGACCTCTACATGCCATGGTGTGTGCATCCTCCACATCCCACCCACAACAAAATAAATAAGTTGTAATAAATAAAAAAGATAAGAATAGCAGGTTTGTTATTTATTTGCTCATGATATTTGTGTCATAACACAGAAATTAATTTTTTTTCTCATCCATTTTGACTCGTCCCTTTCCATTTATGGACACTTCTTTGACTGCCTAATTTTCCTCTTCTGCTTCCTTCTCCTTGTCCATCTCTCCATATGTGGCTTATCACCTGAGCCTTTTTCCCCGGGGGCCATATGGGAATGAATCTTGCTGTCAGTCCAGCATATAATTCCAGGCAGTGGAAGCATGGCAAGGCTGAGTATTGGGGGCTTATTTCCCCTACCAACTGGTGCTCAGAAACCTGATTTTGTTTTTCTTGGTTGCATCTGATGCTCAGGATATTAGTGAGGTTAGCTCTGCCATCAGGGTAGTTGTTTGATTATAATTTTAGGATTGATACTGTCTTCATTAGAAGAACACTTGAATGTGTAGTCATCATCCCAGATTTAATACTCACTTGATACTGACTTCATGTAGCAGTAAAAAGTATTACCAGTAAGGTTATTTGGGACCCAGTAGAATCCTCCAGTTCTTTTAATAGATTGACATTTTCATGTTGACTGTGTAAAAAGTCTAGACTAGCAGACCGTTTTAAATACAAAGAACTTGTACCAATAGGATCCATTACATATTGATGTCACTAAAAATGCCAGTAGGTGCTTTACAAGAGCAGAGTGACATATGCATTGGGCAGAATAAGCTAGGTGAAAGATCTGTAGTCCAGAAGGGGACACTTTGGGTATGGGAGAAAACTAAATTTTGAGATAATAGCTAATGAAATACCGTGGCACTTGAGCCTCATTGAAGAGTGTTGACATGCACTCTGAAGGAACTGTATCTTAGACCATGCTTATGGCAAAGTGTAAACCAGGGCAAAATGAGAGCTGTAGAGTTGACAGGGTGTCTTCTTGTGATCAGTTAAGGTGAAGGAAGGATTGAACTGAGTAGCGCACTGTCTGACTTAATGCATTCCTTGAAATTCTAGTTCCATGAGTATGTTGGTTTCTTTTCTGCCGTGAGAAAATACCATGACAAAAGTGACTTAGGGGAGAAAGGGCTTATTTTAGTTCAGGTTACAGTCTGTCATAGCAGGGAAGTCACAGCCAGAGGAACTTTTGGGAGTTGTTTATATCATATCTAATTAATGCATGCATGCTTCTGTCCAGCTTGCTTTCCCTACTCTTACGCAGTTCAGAATCCTCTGCCAAGGAAATGGTGCCACCTGCAGGGGCACAGCTTCCCCCTCAGGTAGCATAGCCAGGTAGCCCTCCAGAGGCATGCCCACAGGCAGATGCAATCCAAACAGTTCCTCATTGAGACTTCTCTCTCAGGGGATTCTAGATTGTGTTGAGTTGGCAGACCCATCACAACCCCTTCCTCGAAAGTGAGCTAAACAGAAAGAAAGAAAGAAACGAACCATTCAGAATTGTCTCACACATTGCTCTAGAAGTTTTGGAATCTGTTATTTTTCCCCATCTTGGAGAATTCATAGCTTAGAGTCTGTGACAAGCCCATCCATAAAGAAGCCTCTTTTAACTTGGGGTTTTCTAAAACTATGTTTTTTATGTACAAAGAGTGTAACAAACACACGGGAGGGAAGGTTCCTATTACATGAACAACAGAAGTTATACCTTTGAAAAAACTCTGGAAAGCAAAGAGTGGAGACTTGAACACACACGACTTCTAGGAAGCATAATAAACAACTGAAGGGGAGAAATGTACTGCGTTCTTAGTTAAAAAAAGAAGACCCAGTGGTGTTCTTGACTAGCCTGTAAGCTTATTGTTATCCTGTCTATGTCTACAAAACATTTTTCTGTTATATTTAAAATGATTTTGAAGTGGTAAAGAATATGCCAGAATAGGCAGGAAAAATTGGTAAAGTAACAAAAGAAACCTAAACCAGATATTAAAAACATACATAAAAATACTGTATTTAGAAAAAAATGACTGTGTTTGGAAGAGCTTTATACCTGAGTCAGAGTAGTCAGAATAGTGAAATAATGGAGAAACCTTGGCCAGGGGCATGATCCTTCTGAGACCATGTTTAGTATGTGGTAGGGAAAGACTTGGCTTTTAGTAAACGGTGCCAGGCTAGTGGCATTCTGGGGGAACAGAGAATTACTTGATCAAAGTTTAGATATTTTTAAAAAGGTGGGTATGGTGGCTTAGGCCTGTAATCCCAGCTACTCAAAGAGGCTAAGACAGGAGGATCCCACATTCAAGGGCTAGCTGAGCTCCAGCACAACTTAAAGTCCAACTAAAAAAAAAAAAAAAAAGGAAGGGAGTAATAGCTCAGTATAGAGTCTTTGCTTAGTATGTACAATGTACAAGTCTCAAATCTAGTCCTTAGCTTGATCAGTCAATCAATTGCTCAATAAAATAGTTTAAAAGAGAAGTCATAAAAGTAGTGCTATGTTGGGATATGGAAAGGCTTTCTTTACACAAAATTTCTTTACCAAAATTAAGGATTGATTTGATTACATAAAAATTACAAACTTTAGGGCCAGGTGTGGTAGCGCATGCCTTTAATCCCAGCACTTGGGAGGCAGAGGCAAGCGGATCTTTGTGAGTTTGAGGCCAGCCTGGTCTACATAGTGAGTTCCAGGACAGCTGGGGCTACAGGGAGACCCTGTCTCAAAAAGAAAAAAAAAAAAAAAAAAAATTACAAACTTTATATGGCTAAATTCTTCCATATTGAAAGTCTGAATATACAAATGAGATAGGTTATTTGCCTGGCAAAGGGTTAATGTATTTATTATGTTAAGAGACCTTATTAATTACTTGGAATAAATGGAGAAGAAAAGTGAACAGAAAAATGAGCACAGAATTTATTTTTGTGAAAGGCTGATTTCACAAAATAAGGAGTGGCAGGGCTGGAGAGATGACTCAGTCATTAAGAACACTGGCCACTCTTGCAGAGGACCCAGGTTTGATTTCCAGCACCTACATGATGGCTAACAACTGTGTATAACTCCAGTTCCAGGGATATCTGATGCTCTCTTCTGACCTGTGTGGGCACTGCACAACACAGGTGCACTTACCTACATGCAGGCAGTACACTTATACACATAAAATAAAAATAATAAGTAAAATAAAAATAAGGAATAGCAACAGTGCCATCACACTGACACCAGCATGCTGTAGTGTAAACACTAGGCTCAGTGACAGTGGGGAGCATGGGGCTCTAGAATTGGATGTCAGGTTTGGCTGTTGGCTCCATAGCGCTACATGCCTTAGTTTCTCTCCATTGTAAAGGGGTAGTAAAGAAGCATTTCATAGGATTATAATGAGATTTACACAAAATAATTCACATGAAGTGCTTTGCTCAGTATTGGTACCCCCAAATTGGATCTGCCACTGTTAAATGTGCAATTAAACAGAGTGCACATCAATTAGCATGCATGTAACAACATAAGAACAATGAGTTAGTGGTCTGCGATAATGGGTCCTCTAATTGTAAATTGATCTTTAGGGAGAACAATTTGTATCAGTGTGTGCACTTTTTAATCAGTTATAATTTCTTGGAATTTATTCAAAGGAAATAAGGACAAAGAAATGCTTATGTGTTTTCGCTGGTTGTGTTTTTGAGACAGGGTCTCATGTAGCCTAGACTGGCCTTGATTCCTGCTTCTATTCTTCAAGTGCTGGGCTTACAGGTATGCACTGCCATGCCCTACTGCACATAGGTTTTAAGAAATCATAACAGGAGTGGGGTAAATAGAATTTTTTTTAGTTCATAAAACAGCATAACACAAACATTAAAAGTTTTTTTCATGAATGAAATGGTCAAACAATAAAATAATTTTTAAAAGTTATGCTTTTGGGGGCTGGAGAGAGGGCTTAGTGGTTAAGAGCACTGACTGCTCTTGCAGAGGACCTGGTTCGATTCCCAGCACCACATGGTGGCTACAAACCATCTTTTAACTCCAGTTCTATGGGAATCCAAAGCCCTCTTCTGACCTCCATGGCATTGCACGACATGGGTGCACTCACATACACGCAGGCAATACACTCATATACATAAAATAAAAATAATAAAATATTTTTTTTAAAGGTATGCTTTTGATGAATAAGGATGGGAAGACCTGTTCAATGTTTGTCATACAATTTTCCAAGAAAAAGCCAACTCCATACATTTTTTTAATATAGATGTTATGCAATAAAGTATCTTTGCTTGACATACCTTTGCATAAGAATGGAGTG